GTGTAGATCTTATATGAGATATTCTATTTTATTTATGAAGAAAATAATATAGTAAATAATATACTTCATCAATCCTACTTTAAAAAACGATAATAATTTATATCCATATACTCCTAAGGAGTGCAGAACAATTATATTCAACCAAACATATAGAAGTACAAACACAATGCAAAGATTTTGAAAATCTGACATGTTTAATTTCTGACCATTTATGGGTATTCAAATAAACTCTAATTACAGTGTAAAAAGGTTATGGCTTTTAAATTTTAATTCTCATTTAAACCTCATATGCTCCTTAACAATTGGATAAAATATAATTAATTATGTTGCCATCTAACGGTGTGCTTTAGAAATAACCAAAATCTGGTAGGGGGGCTTTTGACCCGCCATTTTGAGCTTTTGATTTTATTATTTTTATTTCTGTAAAATATAGTTGTTTAAAATACATGGCTAAGACAACATCGGCGTTTTCATTTAAGTATATTATACATTTTGGTCCATCGACACGGATCCAGTGATTAAAAATTACAGTCCACTCTTTAAAATTAAATATACGCGAGTTCGTCAAAACATAAAGCCAAACAAAGCTCTACGTGAATGAAAACCCGGGAACCTGAGAAGCCGCCATTGAAGCTTGGAAGCGTCGCCTGGAGTTCACTGGAATTGGAACAACTACAACTAAAGATCACAATTGGAAATACAAGTAAGTCCACAATTAGTCTAAAACCATTTCAAAATTGCTTAGTATAATTGTTTGTAAGGTTTAGTCTATGTACGGTATACTTTGTCATTGTGGTTATTTAATAAATCGGGATAGGAATTAGGAACATATTCCTATTATATATCAATACAATTTTCCCATTACATTCAAAAACTACGGATTTAAACAAATTGCGGTAGCAAATTTATATATAAACTATCGTATATTTTACACGTGCGTTTCTTGTAAAATTTAAAATGGCGGACATTGAGACGCTCAAACAACAAAGGGCTCGATTGATAAAATCTATCGCGCTTATTCAGAATTTTATTAATAACTTTCGAGAAGGAGATAGCAAACATGGCTTAATCCTCCGAAAAAAGAAACTAGTTGAGATTCTTCAAAGTTTAGAAGAAAATCAAACTGAATTAGATGTTAGATGTCCAGGAACTTACTCAAAAGAATATGAGGAGTTATTTGATTTACATTTTGAATTGTCAGCTCAAATTGAAGATATTTTAGAAACTAACATTAACGAAAATAAACCAAATATAGATTTAAAACATAGGCAAATTAACATCAAACTTCCAGACATAAATTTACCAAAGTTCAATGGAAATTATTCGGAATGGAATGCATTCATAGATATTTACAATTCACTTATACACAACAACGAGCATTTGTCAGACGTTCAAAAACTTCATTATTTAAAAGGGACACTACAATCACCAGCATCTGACTTAATAACAAATCTTTCTATGACCAATGAAAATTACAACACGGCATATAATTTACTGCAAGATAGATACAACAATAAATACTTAATAATTACATCACATCTACAATCTCTAAATGACATAAAACCTATACTACGAGGTTCACATGAAAATCTACAATCATTTTTGAACCAAGCGAGGCAGCAGACGCAGTCACTAGTAACAATTCACGAAGATGCAGTTTATTGGGACATAATTTTAGTTTTTCAGCTCACAAATAAATTAGATCACCATACTCGTTTAGCTTGGAGTCTATCACAACAAGAAGGAGAGCTGCCAACGTTAAACAAATTTTATAAATTTCTTGAAACCAGGTCGTGTGCGTTGGAAACTGCAACCAAGACTGGTAAGATAGAACATTCCGGAGCAAAAATAAAATCTGTAAATATAGTGTCTCAAGATAATCAGCACAAACCATGTATATATTGTAAATTGAAAGGACATCGTGTATATAATTGCTTTAAATTTAAGAAACTACCAATAACACAAAGACAGGAAATTTTAAGACTTAATCTCCATTGCGAGAAATGTTTAGAACCTGCTCATTCACCAGATGTATGTAAATTCAGTCAGAATTGCAAAATATGCCAGAAGAAACACCACACAATGATGCATGTATATAATGATAATAAAGATTCCACCTCAGAGGAAAAAGTGAGAAGCAGTGAAACTACGCAAAAGGTACTATTTTCACAAGAGTCCAATTCCATAAGCGTTTTGTTAGCCACTGCAATCATCAACATTGAAAACACTCGAGGGGAGCTTTGTGAAGCAAGAGCACTATTGGATAGTGGCTCACAGACCAACCTGGTCACAAAAGATTTAGCAGAAAGACTGCAGCTCCCACAATTTAATTCCCGAAACACTCTGAGTGTACTACAGGGCAAGTCATTAGGAGTATCTAAATCAACTAAAATCAAGATAAATTCAATTAATAGTTCGTATAGCAGATCAATAAACTGTATTGTAATAGATAAAATTACAACAAATTTACCTGCACAAAAAGTTGATGCCAGTGACTGGAAGATTCCAAATAACATAAAATTAGCAGATCCTTCATTTTCAAATCCTGGGCCAGTTGACGTACTAATAGGAGCAGAATTATTCTTTGAAATCATACAGCAAGGTAGTATAAAACTAGGCTATAAACTTCCCATGTTGAAAAACAGCAAGCTTGGATGGATGCTTTCAGGACCATATAAGGAGCCATCGATGCAACCGAGTTATGTAGGATTCATTTCCAATGATCAATTAAATTGCGAAATAACAAAGTTTTGGCAAATCGAAGAAATAGACAGCAGTCCTCCAATGCAGGGTTCGGACAAAATCTGTGAAGACCACTTTTTAAAGACAGTTCACCGACATGAAAATGGAAGATATGAGGTGAGTCTACCATTTATTGAAAATAGAAAGTCAGAACTTGGAGAATCATTCCATCTAGCCAAGTCACGCCTGTTAAACCTGGAAAGACGCTTTAAATCAGATAAAAACCTTTTGAATAAATATGCAGAGTTTATGGAAGAGTATATTCGGTTAGGCCATGCGCAAGAAACCACAGTGATACAACATTCAACTCAAGAAAATCCAGTTTATTATCTTCCACATCACCCCGTTATAAAAGAATATGGTACAACCAAGTTGCGGGTAGTATTTGATGCTTCGGCTAAAACATCTAATAATATATCATTAAATGACATCTTACATACAGGACCTAAGCTACAGCAAGAATTAATATCAATACTAATTAGATTTCGATGCTGGAAGTATGTTTTTATAACAGATATTACAAAAATGTACAGGCAAATAAAAGTTGCTAAAAAAGATCAAGAAGTGCAAAGGATTTTGTGGAGATGTGACCCAAAGGAAGACATTCGTTGTTATAAATTAACAACAGTAACCTATGGCACATCTTCCGCACCCTATTTAGCAATTCGTGTTTTGAATAAACTAGCAGAGGATGAAGAAAGCAGTACACCTGTAGCAGCAGATATTATTAAACAAGACTGCTATGTAGACGATATAATAACAGGAGCAAACTCCATAACAGATCTTCATATTAAATCTGATCAACTTGTGACAATGCTTGGCCGCGGAGGATTTTCTCTACACAAGTGGTCCAGCAATAATCAAGAATTTTTAAACACAATTGCACAAGAAAATCAAGAATTAGAAAATACGTGCTTCATTGATAAAACTGGAATAATTAAAGCATTGGGGTTATTATGGAACCCGACAGAAGACATTTTTAAGGCAACAATTCCATCAGCATTCCAAAGAACTTTCACAAAAAGAGCCATTTTATCAGCCATATCCCAAATCTTCGACCCAATGGGACTTATAGCCCCAGTCGTAGTCAAGGCGAAGATGATAATGCAAAAGATATGGAAACAGAAGACTGATTGGGATGAAGAAGTTCCAGCAACAATTAAAGAAGAGTGGAAAACCCTTCAAAATCAGTTCACTCTTCTAAAAGAAATAAAGATTCAACGGTATATGTTCAACCAAGAACCAATAAAACAAATTGAGTGCCATGGATTCGCTGATGCATCAATGGCAGCATATGGAGCATGCATCTATGTTCGGGCAATATATAACAATAATTCTATATCATCAAGGCTATTAACTGCCAAATCAAAAGTAGCACCAATCAAGAATGTGACTCTGCCACGACTAGAACTATGCGCAGCATTACTATTAGCTAGACTTTATAAGCACATAAGTAAGGTAATCAATATACATTTTGACAAAACGTTCATGTGGAGTGATTCGACCATTGTTTTGGGATGGTTAAAAACTGATCCCAGCAAGCTAAAAATGTTTGTTAGCAACAGAGTGCAGGAGATTCAGGAAACAACATCCGGAATAATATGGAGTCATGTATCTTCACAGGACAACGCAGCAGACATAGTTTCGAGAGGAGCCACTCCTCAGGAAATAATTAATAATAGCTTATGGTGGTTTGGTCCAACATGGTTGTTATCAAATTCAGAATGGCCCACCAATAAGTATGAAGAGAATTTTATAATAAATAAACTCATCTAACATAAAAAAAATTATGGTTTCGGCGGAAAATGGGAAAAACTAGATTTTTGCACCTTTGACCTTGAATAAAAAAAATCGCAGATGTCGGATCGTTGGGGACTTTTGACATTTCATTTGTAATGGCCTATTTAACATCTGTACCAAATTTCAGCTCTATGCGAATTGTTCCTAACTGAAAACTTAATTTGACTGGGCTATAATCAATGCTAGTCCTTACCAAATTACATACAATGGCATTTGAAGTTATGAAATCAGTTCAATCGTTTTTGTGAAAACGTCAACAGAAGATCCAAAAAAACGCTAACATTACACACGCATAATTTTCGCACAAATGCTTTGTATGTATGGTTTCGAAGCGACAACCATGGTGAACTAAAATAATTTTCAATTCAAAAACCATTATTTTCATTCATCATTACTAGATCCAGTTTTAAATAACAAAAAAATAATACGTAAAGCTTTTTTCTTTTACTGACTATTACTTACTTATCGCTGATTTTTCGCTGTTGTATATGGATAGTGAATATTGCATGACTTCTACTGGATTGACTGTTCATTGCAGTTGCACCTACAGCTCTGCGACGATATCCTCTAACTAAACAATCTAATGTATCTTTTGCATTACGTACTTCAATTTCGGTTAATCCAGGAATTACAATTCTTTTTTGTTGATCTTCTCTGATATCAACTATACTTTGATCTCTATTTGATTTTGATAAAAGATCAAATAATTGTTCTTGATATAATTCCATAAATGATACCTGTAGAACATGAGAAAATACTTTACTGAAGAAATGACTTACTGTTATTATTATGTTTACAATTTCATAAACTATTATGATTTCTAAAAGCAAATTATATTAAATAGCAATCCATATACTCCTAAGGAGTGCAGAACAATTATATTCAACCAAACATATAGAAGTACAAACACAATGCAAAGATTTTGAAAATCTGACATGTTTAATTTCTGACCATTTATGGGTATTCAAATAAACTCTAATTACAGTGTAAAAAGGTTATGGCTTTTAAATTTTAATTCTCATTTAAACCTCATATGCTCCTTAACAATACACTTTAAATTTATTGCTTTAATATTTGGAAAGTAGTTTATATTGATCTAACTTGTAATTGAAAATTATATTGCTCCGTCAGAGTTGAAATTTTTTGAAAAATGTCTTTTACTGCTCTTGGTATAACACCCATCTCCTCGACTGGTCCAACTGAATAAGCCATGCCCATGGAATGAGTTTTTCCGGAGCCAGTCTGACCATAAGCTAATATTGTCACATTGTAGCCTAAAATATATTTTTAGATTGAACAAAATAATAAATAATAAAGTAAAGATACTGAAGATAAAAATAGAATTTGGGATTATAGATGAGAGATAAATTCACCTACACCAAAGTTATGTTATGTCAAAATTAAATTCTAGTAGAAATAAATTGCCCTTAAACAATCCATCAACTACATCAACCCTTAACAGCAGTGTCATAAAATTCAGCTTGCGAAACTTCTGGTGGAAATGCATGGTTGTAAGTAAAAGAAAGATTTTTTATTAAAACTTGAGGTTTATTCGGCAGTGTTTCGAGGCATTTAACATATCTTTTAGAAATTTCGGATTTGACTAAAGGCCTTATCCTTAAAGCCACCTGTACACTAACAGCAGAATCAAATTTTTTCAAAAATCGTTTAAGCAGGTGTAGATCTTATATGAGATATTCTATTTTATTTATGAAGAAAATAATATAGTAAATAATATACTTCATCAATCCTACTTTAAAAAACGATAATAATTTATATCCATATACTCTCCTAAGGAGTGCAGAACAATTATATTCAACCAAACATATAGAAGTACAAACACAATGCAAAGATTTTGAAAATCTGACATGTTTAATTTCTGACCATTTATGGGTATTCAAATAAACTCTAATTACAGTGTAAAAAGGTTATGGCTTTTAAATTTTAATTCTCATTTAAACCTCATATGCTCCTTAACAATTGGATAAAATATAATTAATTATGTTGCCATCTAACGGTGTGCTTTAGAAATAACCAAAATCTGGTAGGGGGGCTTTTGACCCGCCATTTTGAGCTTTTGATTTTATTATTTTTATTTCTGTAAAATATAGTTGTTTAAAATACATGGCTAAGACAACATCGGCGTTTTCATTTAAGTATATTATACATTTTGGTCCATCGACACGGATCCAGTGATTAAAAATTACAGTCCACTCTTTAAAATTAAATATACGCGAGTTCGTCAAAACATAAAGCCAAACAAAGCTCTACGTGAATGAAAACCCGGGAACCTGAGAAGCCGCCATTGAAGCTTGGAAGCGTCGCCTGGAGTTCACTGGAATTGGAACAACTACAACTAAAGATCACAATTGGAAATACAAGTAAGTCCACAATTAGTCTAAAACCATTTCAAAATTGCTTAGTATAATTGTTTGTAAGGTTTAGTCTATGTACGGTATACTTTGTCATTGTGGTTATTTAATAAATCGGGATAGGAATTAGGAACATATTCCTATTATATATCAATACAATTTTCCCATTACATTCAAAAACTACGGATTTAAACAAATTGCGGTAGCAAATTTATATATAAACTATCGTATATTTTACACGTGCGTTTCTTGTAAAATTTAAAATGGCGGACATTGAGACGCTCAAACAACAAAGGGCTCGATTGATAAAATCTATCGCGCTTATTCAGAATTTTATTAATAACTTTCGAGAAGGAGATAGCAAACATGGCTTAATCCTCCGAAAAAAGAAACTAGTTGAGATTCTTCAAAGTTTAGAAGAAAATCAAACTGAATTAGATGTTAGATGTCCAGGAACTTACTCAAAAGAATATGAGGAGTTATTTGATTTACATTTTGAATTGTCAGCTCAAATTGAAGATATTTTAGAAACTAACATTAACGAAAATAAACCAAATATAGATTTAAAACATAGGCAAATTAACATCAAACTTCCAGACATAAATTTACCAAAGTTCAATGGAAATTATTCGGAATGGAATGCATTCATAGATATTTACAATTCACTTATACACAACAACGAGCATTTGTCAGACGTTCAAAAACTTCATTATTTAAAAGGGACACTACAATCACCAGCATCTGACTTAATAACAAATCTTTCTATGACCAATGAAAATTACAACACGGCATATAATTTACTGCAAGATAGATACAACAATAAATACTTAATAATTACATCACATCTACAATCTCTAAATGACATAAAACCTATACTACGAGGTTCACATGAAAATCTACAATCATTTTTGAACCAAGCGAGGCAGCAGACGCAGTCACTAGTAACAATTCACGAAGATGCAGTTTATTGGGACATAATTTTAGTTTTTCAGCTCACAAATAAATTAGATCACCATACTCGTTTAGCTTGGAGTCTATCACAACAAGAAGGAGAGCTGCCAACGTTAAACAAATTTTATAAATTTCTTGAAACCAGGTCGTGTGCGTTGGAAACTGCAACCAAGACTGGTAAGATAGAACATTCCGGAGCAAAAATAAAATCTGTAAATATAGTGTCTCAAGATAATCAGCACAAACCATGTATATATTGTAAATTGAAAGGACATCGTGTATATAATTGCTTTAAATTTAAGAAACTACCAATAACACAAAGACAGGAAATTTTAAGACTTAATCTCCATTGCGAGAAATGTTTAGAACCTGCTCATTCACCAGATGTATGTAAATTCAGTCAGAATTGCAAAATATGCCAGAAGAAACACCACACAATGATGCATGTATATAATGATAATAAAGATTCCACCTCAGAGGAAAAAGTGAGAAGCAGTGAAACTACGCAAAAGGTACTATTTTCACAAGAGTCCAATTCCATAAGCGTTTTGTTAGCCACTGCAATCATCAACATTGAAAACACTCGAGGGGAGCTTTGTGAAGCAAGAGCACTATTGGATAGTGGCTCACAGACCAACCTGGTCACAAAAGATTTAGCAGAAAGACTGCAGCTCCCACAATTTAATTCCCGAAACACTCTGAGTGTACTACAGGGCAAGTCATTAGGAGTATCTAAATCAACTAAAATCAAGATAAATTCAATTAATAGTTCGTATAGCAGATCAATAAACTGTATTGTAATAGATAAAATTACAACAAATTTACCTGCACAAAAAGTTGATGCCAGTGACTGGAAGATTCCAAATAACATAAAATTAGCAGATCCTTCATTTTCAAATCCTGGGCCAGTTGACGTACTAATAGGAGCAGAATTATTCTTTGAAATCATACAGCAAGGTAGTATAAAACTAGGCTATAAACTTCCCATGTTGAAAAACAGCAAGCTTGGATGGATGCTTTCAGGACCATATAAGGAGCCATCGATGCAACCGAGTTATGTAGGATTCATTTCCAATGATCAATTAAATTGCGAAATAACAAAGTTTTGGCAAATCGAAGAAATAGACAGCAGTCCTCCAATGCAGGGTTCGGACAAAATCTGTGAAGACCACTTTTTAAAGACAGTTCACCGACATGAAAATGGAAGATATGAGGTGAGTCTACCATTTATTGAAAATAGAAAGTCAGAACTTGGAGAATCATTCCATCTAGCCAAGTCACGCCTGTTAAACCTGGAAAGACGCTTTAAATCAGATAAAAACCTTTTGAATAAATATGCAGAGTTTATGGAAGAGTATATTCGGTTAGGCCATGCGCAAGAAACCACAGTGATACAACATTCAACTCAAGAAAATCCAGTTTATTATCTTCCACATCACCCCGTTATAAAAGAATATGGTACAACCAAGTTGCGGGTAGTATTTGATGCTTCGGCTAAAACATCTAATAATATATCATTAAATGACATCTTACATACAGGACCTAAGCTACAGCAAGAATTAATATCAATACTAATTAGATTTCGATGCTGGAAGTATGTTTTTATAACAGATATTACAAAAATGTACAGGCAAATAAAAGTTGCTAAAAAAGATCAAGAAGTGCAAAGGATTTTGTGGAGATGTGACCCAAAGGAAGACATTCGTTGTTATAAATTAACAACAGTAACCTATGGCACATCTTCCGCACCCTATTTAGCAATTCGTGTTTTGAATAAACTAGCAGAGGATGAAGAAAGCAGTACACCTGTAGCAGCAGATATTATTAAACAAGACTGCTATGTAGACGATATAATAACAGGAGCAAACTCCATAACAGATCTTCATATTAAATCTGATCAACTTGTGACAATGCTTGGCCGCGGAGGATTTTCTCTACACAAGTGGTCCAGCAATAATCAAGAATTTTTAAACACAATTGCACAAGAAAATCAAGAATTAGAAAATACGTGCTTCATTGATAAAACTGGAATAATTAAAGCATTGGGGTTATTATGGAACCCGACAGAAGACATTTTTAAGGCAACAATTCCATCAGCATTCCAAAGAACTTTCACAAAAAGAGCCATTTTATCAGCCATATCCCAAATCTTCGACCCAATGGGACTTATAGCCCCAGTCGTAGTCAAGGCGAAGATGATAATGCAAAAGATATGGAAACAGAAGACTGATTGGGATGAAGAAGTTCCAGCAACAATTAAAGAAGAGTGGAAAACCCTTCAAAATCAGTTCACTCTTCTAAAAGAAATAAAGATTCAACGGTATATGTTCAACCAAGAACCAATAAAACAAATTGAGTGCCATGGATTCGCTGATGCATCAATGGCAGCATATGGAGCATGCATCTATGTTCGGGCAATATATAACAATAATTCTATATCATCAAGGCTATTAACTGCCAAATCAAAAGTAGCACCAATCAAGAATGTGACTCTGCCACGACTAGAACTATGCGCAGCATTACTATTAGCTAGACTTTATAAGCACATAAGTAAGGTAATCAATATACATTTTGACAAAACGTTCATGTGGAGTGATTCGACCATTGTTTTGGGATGGTTAAAAACTGATCCCAGCAAGCTAAAAATGTTTGTTAGCAACAGAGTGCAGGAGATTCAGGAAACAACATCCGGAATAATATGGAGTCATGTATCTTCACAGGACAACGCAGCAGACATAGTTTCGAGAGGAGCCACTCCTCAGGAAATAATTAATAATAGCTTATGGTGGTTTGGTCCAACATGGTTGTTATCAAATTCAGAATGGCCCACCAATAAGTATGAAGAGAATTTTATAATAAATAAACTCATCTAACATAAAAAAAATTATGGTTTCGGCGGAAAATGGGAAAAACTAGATTTTTGCACCTTTGACCTTGAATAAAAAAAATCGCAGATGTCGGATCGTTGGGGACTTTTGACATTTCATTTGTAATGGCCTATTTAACATCTGTACCAAATTTCAGCTCTATGCGAATTGTTCCTAACTGAAAACTTAATTTGACTGGGCTATAATCAATGCTAGTCCTTACCAAATTACATACAATGGCATTTGAAGTTATGAAATCAGTTCAATCGTTTTTGTGAAAACGTCAACAGAAGATCCAAAAAAACGCTAACATTACACACGCATAATTTTCGCACAAATGCTTTGTATGTATGGTTTCGAAGCGACAACCATGGTGAACTAAAATAATTTTCAATTCAAAAACCATTATTTTCATTCATCATTACTAGATCCAGTTTTAAATAACAAAAAAATAATACGTAAAGCTTTTTTCTTTTACTGACTATTACTTACTTATCGCTGATTTTTCGCTGTTGTATATGGATAGTGAATATTGCATGACTTCTACTGGATTGACTGTTCATTGCAGTTGCACCTACAGCTCTGCGACGATATCCTCTAACTAAACAATCTAATGTATCTTTTGCATTACGTACTTCAATTTCGGTTAATCCAGGAATTACAATTCTTTTTTGTTGATCTTCTCTGATATCAACTATACTTTGATCTCTATTTGATTTTGATAAAAGATCAAATAATTGTTCTTGATATAATTCCATAAATGATACCTGTAGAACATGAGAAAATACTTTACTGAAGAAATGACTTACTGTTATTATTATGTTTACAATTTCATAAACTATTATGATTTCTAAAAGCAAATTATATTAAATAGCAATCCATATACTCCTAAGGAGTGCAGAACAATTATATTCAACCAAACATATAGAAGTACAAACACAATGCAAAGATTTTGAAAATCTGACATGTTTAATTTCTGACCATTTATGGGTATTCAAATAAACTCTAATTACAGTGTAAAAAGGTTATGGCTTTTAAATTTTAATTCTCATTTAAACCTCATATGCTCCTTAACAATACACTTTAAATTTATTGCTTTAATATTTGGAAAGTAGTTTATATTGATCTAACTTGTAATTGAAAATTATATTGCTCCGTCAGAGTTGAAATTTTTTGAAAAATGTCTTTTACTGCTCTTGGTATAACACCCATCTCCTCGACTGGTCCAACTGAATAAGCCATGCCCATGGAATGAGTTTTTCCGGAGCCAGTCTGACCATAAGCTAATATTGTCACATTGTAGCCTAAAATATATTTTTAGATTGAACAAAATAATAAATAATAAAGTAAAGATACTGAAGATAAAAATAGAATTTGGGATTATAGATGAGAGATAAATTCACCTACACCAAAGTTATGTTATGTCAAAATTAAATTCTAGTAGAAATAAATTGCCCTTAAACAATCCATCAACTACATCAACCCTTAACAGCAGTGTCATAAAATTCAGCTTGCGAAACTTCTGGTGGAAATGCATGGTTGTAAGTAAAAGAAAGATTTTTTATTAAAACTTGAGGTTTATTCGGCAGTGTTTCGAGGCATTTAACATATCTTTTAGAAATTTCGGATTTGACTAAAGGCCTTATCCTTAAAGCCACCTGTACACTAACAGCAGAATCAAATTTTTTCAAAAATCGTTTAAGCAGGTGTAGATCTTATATGAGATATTCTATTTTATTTATGAAGAAAATAATATAGTAAATAATATACTTCATCAATCCTACTTTAAAAAACGATAATAATTTATATCCATATACTCTCCTAAGGAGTGCAGAACAATTATATTCAACCAAACATATAGAAGTACAAACACAATGCAAAGATTTTGAAAATCTGACATGTTTAATTTCTGACCATTTATGGGTATTCAAATAAACTCTAATTACAGTGTAAAAAGGTTATGGCTTTTAAATTTTAATTCTCATTTAAACCTCATATGCTCCTTAACAATTGGATAAAATATAATTAATTATGTTGCCATCTAACGGTGTGCTTTAGAAATAACCAAAATCTGGTAGGGGGGCTTTTGACCCGCCATTTTGAGCTTTTGATTTTATTATTTTTATTTCTGTAAAATATAGTTGTTTAAAATACATGGCTAAGACAACATCGGCGTTTTCATTTAAGTATATTATACATTTTGGTCCATCGACACGGATCCAGTGATTAAAAATTACAGTCCACTCTTTAAAATTAAATATACGCGAGTTCGTCAAAACATAAAGCCAAACAAAGCTCTACGTGAATGAAAACCCGGGAACCTGAGAAGCCGCCATTGAAGCTTGGAAGCGTCGCCTGGAGTTCACTGGAATTGGAACAACTACAACTAAAGATCACAATTGGAAATACAAGTAAGTCCACAATTAGTCTAAAACCATTTCAAAATTGCTTAGTATAATTGTTTGTAAGGTTTAGTCTATGTACGGTATACTTTGTCATTGTGGTTATTTAATAAATCGGGATAGGAATTAGGAACATATTCCTATTATATATCAATACAATTTTCCCATTACATTCAAAAACTACGGATTTAAACAAATTGCGGTAGCAAATTTATATATA